CTAAGCTCGAACTTGACTATTCCTTTCTAAACTCTGTGATGACTCTCTAAGAGGCCATTTTAAAAAAAAAAATCTCTTTTTTTTGTTTAGAGAGGTTTTTGCTACAGGGCACGTGTGCTTGCCAGAAAGACAGAGAGAGATAGAGAGACAGCAAGTGTGAAATTATCCCACGGGAGGATGGCTACACTGCAATCCCCTCTCCTCCATTCTCCTCTCGGGATCTTGGGCACACACACATACATGTCCAGCATGAATTTAAGCCACTGGCTCCAGGACTCGAACCACTGTAGACTACATGGGAGTCCAGTGACATAGCTATTACGCCAACTGCTGGTCCCAAGGCCATGTTTTAAGAAAGTGTGGAAAACACTTTCACAGGAATGGGTGATCAAGGGATGCTGAAGGAAAACTTAATACTCCATGGTTGACTGAATTATGGTCTCTAGTCCTCATTTCCCTGTCATGGTAATAGGCAAAACTGATTGTGAAGACAGTGACCTTTCTTCTCTATCCTTTGCCTTCAGACTTGGCTTATGACCTGCTGCAAAATGATGGCAGACATGATGTGAGATGTGCTTGGAATGTTTGAAATGTGCTGCAAGGCCCTCTCTGGAGGCTACCAGCTGTAGTTCAGTCACCGTGAAAACATTCTGCTCCATGCCCCAGCCCTAATTTCACAGTTACCAAGTGACTTTCTGATTACCCTTGGTTTGAAATATGCTTGTGTGTTTGAGTTTTCTCTCTTGTACTCCTGCCTCCCACCATGAGAAAAATATCTCCAGACAGTGGCTGGTTGAAGGCAGATGAGAGACGTAGAAGAGATCTGGACCCAGCCTACCCTAGAGACAAGTGCAACTGAGTCCTGGCTAGATCAGTCTACCCACATATGTGACAAAGAAGGGGAAAATGCTCATAGTTCTTAACAATAAAATATCATAGTTGTTACGGGCTATTACTGTGGCAGGAACTTCTAATGTTCATTAAACTTATATATCCACATCTTTATGAATAATGGTTCCACTTTCTTTCCAACATGGAAACTTCAGAAAAATCTCTAATTTTTTTTTTTCACTCTCAGTATCCAAATGATACCTGCATCCCACTGATGCTCTCTCTTCAGTAATTAAAATCTATACCTTCCCATCACTCTTCAACACCCCTGCTCTGGTTCTAGCCCTTAGCATTGCCACTAATGGGCACCTCTGCAAAAGTCTTGTCACTAACGGCCCTACTTTAACCCTCCCTCTAGTCTCATCCACTTGCTGACAAGTTGTCTTTCCAAAGGACTGCTGCATCCCTGACATACCTCCAAAACTTGCAGTGGCTTCCAGTGACTTTCAATATTAGAGTTCCTATATTCTGATCAAGCATTCAAAGCCCTTCATGACTGATCCCAACCAGTCTTTCCAATCTCCTTGATTCCTCTCCCTCATTGTACTTTTTCGGCTCTAACTTCTCATGATTCTATTAATAAGAACAAAGTCACCAGGACCAGCAGATGGCATAATGGTTATGTCTGTGAACTTTCACATGGTCGACCATGGTTCGAGTCCTGGACCCATGGATTGAAACTCATGCTAGGCACATGTGTGTGCATGCCCAAAATCCCCAAAAAATAATGGAGAAGGGATTGTGGTTTAGCTGTCCTCCCTGAAGGGTGATTTCTCACTTTCTATCTCTCGATCTCTCTTTGTCTCTCCAGCAAGCACATGCACCCTATGGAAAAAGCCCCTCCAAAAAAAAAAGAGAGAGAGAGAGAGAGAAAGAAAAAGAATGAGGTCACTTGAAACACCTGCAGGCCCTATAAATCTTCTTGTATCAGATCTTCTCTGATCCCACTCCATGGCAAAAGCAGAGCCTGTTAACTGAAGAGCAATGAGGTCAATAGAAGAGAGACCATAGATTGAGAAGTGGCAGAAAGCACAGGAAAATTAAATGGCAAAATGATTGTTTAGTAAAAAAAGGAAAAAAAGATAGTTTGGGCAGTTTTAGATATAAGAAGTACTATAAAGGATACATTTGATAACACTGTCTCCTCTGCAACCTTTAGGAAATCACTCTCCCTTTCCAGGCTCAGCCTTCCCATCTGTAAAACGAGTCGCTACTATTCAGAGATATCCAAATATACGTCCAAACCTTGCGAAAAGTCCAGCTCTTCGTTATTCCTCTAACATGCTATGGTCTTATCTCCTGACGTCATCATTCCTCTGGTGATAGTAGATGTGGGAGTTTGGGGAATACACGCTTACAAGGCAAAGAAACATGATTAGAGTGAAATAACAAGAGCATGGGTAATGATTTGGAGCTCTACGAAGGGTGGAAAATTCCTTAGAAGTCTACTCAGTCAAATGTGCTATGTGACCTGGGACAGGTTCCCTCCCTCCATGAGACTCAGTTTATCTGTGCAGAGAAGTTGGTCTTGACCTTCTCATGGACATCTTTGATGTTCTCTCCCTCCTTGTGCTATTGGCCTGAGATAGTTTCTGCTTTGTTCTTCCTAAAGCACTCAAGACAAGCTTGGATGCCTGCATTTTAGTTGCTTTCTTCTCATTGCCATTCATCAGCATGCCTCTGAGAGCATGAAGAAAAAAATAATCAGAGGCCGAAAGGTTCCAGTGGCACAGGCTAGTGATCAGGTCTGATGGAGATTAGAGTCCTTAATCAGGTTACACTGGGACTAATTGGTGTTGGCTCAGCTCATGTAGGCAGCTCATGCAAGGTGGCCCAGGCTGCAGAAAGGCTGCTAGGCAGGCCCCAGGAGGGTCCTCACTCCAGGGTCTCAGCCAAGGCACCCCTCTCCGTGGCTCCATTTCCTTCCTTTCCAGCCTCTTCCACCTCTGAATGCATGCCCCCACACACTTATCAATGCATTAGTGTCTGGCAGGAAAGCTAGAGGAGAAAAGCTTCCCTAAAAAACAGAGCTGGTTGAGGATGGAGGGAGGCGAAGAAATATCACTAATGGCTTGAAATGGATATACAGCCGACATCTCCAACAACCAGGAAGGATCTTTCCCAGTTAAGGAATTAGGGATGCTTAACACAGACGCACAAAGCTGGGTCCACTCAGTGAGAGGTTGCCCTCTCCCCAACACCCCACCCTTCATCCCAACGCCTCCCATCCTCTGGACTTCTCAGACGGACCTGAGAGGGGTGGGGAGCCTCGGGAGAGGGAGGGCATCGATCTGGCCGCCCAGGTCATCTAAGGCTGAGTCCATATATTACTTACTGATTATATGTCCTGGATCAATCACTACATCTTTGGACCTCAGGTTCCTCATCAGGAAACTAATCTTAAATTTCACTTACAAATTTGTCACAGAGATTGCAGGAAATACATTAAAAAACAGTTACCACGTTGCCAGATGTGTGGGTAGCAGTGGGTAGGTGGTGAGGTTACTACTGTTACGCTGCCCGTACTGCTATGATCTCCAAGGCTGTGGTCTAGGCTGACCCTGGCCCTCAGGCCATGCCAGACACTAATGCATAGGTAAGAGTGTGGGGGCCTGCACTCAGAGGTGGAGGATGCTATAAAGAAAGGGAATGGAGCGATGGGAAGGTCGTCTGGGCTGAGATCCTGGAGCAGAGACCCTCCTGGGGTCTGCCTGGCAGCCTTTCTGCAACCTGGGTCACCTTGCATGAGCTGCCTACATGAGCTGAGCTGACACCAATTAGTCCCAGTGTAGCCTGATGGCGGACTCTCATCTCCGTCAGACCTGCCTCAGTGCCTTCGTCCCTCCTGGCTGCAGCATCCCCAGCTCATGCTTCCTTCCACCTTACTTGTTCCCATTCTCCTCCCCACATGGCACATCTCTGGTCCAGACTTTCCTTTTTCAGACCCATGACCACTCAGTGCCTAGCACTGCTGAGATACGAGCACAAACATAAATCCATCCCATTTTTTTTCCTTCAAGCAACCAGTACTCAAGTAGGAGTAGTGAGAGGAAAATACATCACGACCACATGATACAGTTCCACCTGGAAGGGGTGTGTGTGCAGAGGCACAAAAACAGAGGAAAGAGCACCCAGCTGTGCCGTAGGGTCATGGCACACACCAGCAGAGGACAGGAAGGAAGGACGTAGGTTTAGCTAAGTACCAGGAGGTGCTGGAGAGGCTTTCTATTAACACAGGTGATCTCAACAACTCTGAGCAAGGGTCTCTGGCTGACTTTCTCTTGCAGATGAGGTCCAGAGGTGTGAAGTGCTTTGTTTGTCTAAGGTCATTCAAGCTTAGAATGTCAAAGCCAGGACTGCTCCTGAGATTGTGCTGCTGCCTGCAGGCTGTACTGCCTCCTTCTCCATGAGAAATAGAGCTTTCCAAATAGAAAGCCCAGCCGGTGCAAAGCCTGGTCACAACAAGAATGGGAAACGGTGGGCCTCTGAGTTTCCCTGGATCCGCAATATACACTGGACTGAGAACCGTCAGACTCAATGGGCACTGGGAAATCCTGCCTTGGTTCTGCAGGTGTGAGAAAGCAGCCCCCGAAAACCCTGCATCTCTCCTACAAAAACAGGCATTACCACATGCTGAATCTGAGCGATGTGGTGAGAGAGGTAGTTAAAAGCAGAGAAGACAGGCACTGGAGTTTAAATAAGATCTGAACTCTGCCTTTATGGACTAATGGTGCCATGACTGTAAAATTTCCACCAAGATCCAGCTTCTTCATTCCCAAGTTAATCACGCCCACCCTTTCTCATTGAACAACATGAAAAATGCTTGATTCTCAGTATGGGCTCCATAAACGCTACCTGCTATTGCTATAGTTATTACAAAATTGATTGCCTTAATGTCTTTCCTGACCATGACTCATTCTGGACACCTTGGCTATAACTTGGAAAAGGGGAAAGGCTGGGATGCCTATGGAGCTTGTTAAGCAGGATATGTTGGTTCTCTTTTGACGCCTTTGATCTACTGAAACACCCTGCAAATCAGAGGCTTTGTTGTCCTGATTTTACAAAGGGGAAAAGCCACCAAGGCTAAATGACTTGAATTCAATTCACAGAACAAGAAATCAGAGGGTCAGGATTCAAACCCCGGTCTGCACGATTCTGGAGTTGGAGCTCCCCAATAATCTATGTGCAAGATGAAAGGGCTCAGCATCTCCTCGTGATCAACATGACCCACTTGGTGACCCCATTTGACTTCTGCCATATTTCTAATGGAGCCTAAAGGGATGCAGATGAGGTGAGGCTATGTGGCTGACAACAACCAAGGGACCTGGAGCTGTTTTCCCACACGGTGCTAGATGGCCTTACTCAAGCTAGTCTGTCTCTCTGAGCTTCATCACTTTAACCTAAAAGATGGGGAACATAAGCTCTGTCCTCTTCTATTCACGAGGAGGTTGGGAGGATAAAATATATACTTAAACCAGTCAGACTAGATGATGATTAATAATGCAGCTGTCCCTAGCCTGAACAAAACCTGAAACAGTGAAGTGAAATATACAAAATAAATTAAGCCAAGGGTAATTATTCATTTTGCAAAAGAGTTCTTCACGCCACAAAAGAGAATCATTGACACCTTTTTCTACCCAAGCATCAGTTATCTTTGGGATTTTAAAATCAAATTCCATTTCTGCAATTCAGCAAAAAGACTAATGATTTCTGAGTACACCCTGAGCATAAGGGGTCATACCTACATGTCCTGTCCTTAATCACTGATGCCATAAAAAAGAAGGTCCAAAAACCTATAAAGGGGCAGAACAAGGTAGGACCTTTGTCTCTATCTAGCTGGGAATCTGGAGAAACGAGAACCTGCAGGTAGCCAGAGGTCTTTACTGTCTTAGAAAGGTCCCTCCCTTAGAATGACCTTGGATTCAGCTAAAGGCAGATGGTCAGGGTCATAGCCAGCTTCCTCAGGAAACTAGAGAATGTTCATTTCCAGTCCCTTCCATCTGGACTATTAGACCATTTTACATAATGTGTACACTCAGTTGAACCCAGCTCATTTTCACTGTGCTAGTCTCATTCCTGATGACATTCATGTTCATATTTTTACTCTCCCCTTTCTCCCTTGTTCTCTTATTTTATGGGTCTCTCTTCCCCTCCATCTCTGTCTCTATTTTTATTTCTTAATCTTGTGTTTTTCATGATTTTCAGTTTTTCCCTTGGTCTCTGCTTCTCTCTCTTCCTCTCTGTGCATGTCTCTCTATCCCTTACTATCTCTTTGTCTCTCTTTCTCTATGTCTCTCTGTCTTTTACGGCACCCTGCAGAGAAAAGAACTAAAAGAATCTGGAGTCAGAGCGACCCCAGTTCAATCCTGAGATGCACCTTAATTTCTCCCTTCACAAATAAGAGACAAAAAGAAGTAAAGTCTCTCTACTTCAGGGTTAATGTGACGAGGAAATACAAATGGCATGTAAAGGTACCTGGAGGAAAGAATACTGCCACTTCCTATTAAATCCATCACCCCTTCCTTTCTTCTTGATTTCTCTCATTTTCCTTCCCTCTCCTTTGCCCCTCTCCAGACACACACACAAGGCACAGCCTCTGGCCTGATCCCCACATTCCAACAATGATTTAATTGCAGATTAGCACAGGTCCCATTACTAAGACTCACATTCTTTTACAAAACATTTCTACAGTATATTTCTTGGTTTGTGATGGAGAATAATCACAAATCACTAAAATTAAGTAGTGCGTGTCCAAGTGGCCTGCACCAGGCTTTGGTAGGGAGTCGGGCTTCACTGTCATGCCCAGTTTGGGCCATTTACAGCAAGCTGTTCACATGGTCCAGGCCAAGGCCACCAGACCTTGCTTAACTTACACAGGGCATATTGAATTCTTGGATGCCCTGACTTGAGGAAGACTCCAGGAGTGATCAAAATAAATCTGTATCTGCCCTCTCCCTGCCTCCAGCCCCTTTTGTCTGGTAGAAACCCAAACCTATCTAAAAAATTTTTGATTAAGAGACTATTCAACATTAAAACTGAAAGGCTGGGACACATACACATGTGCACAGGGTTCTTACTCTATTCGGAGCTCTTTAATCATCAACACTGAGACAAAAGTTCCATCAGTGAAAAGGCAGGAGAGGACAGCATGTGCAGCAGGCAGGCTCCCTACTGACGGTATCAAAACCAGAAAAGGCTAGTGCTACTGATTGCTGTGTTTAAAGGGCTTCTGGAGGCCCCCGGTGCTCAGAAATTTGCCATCATGCCTTCCATTCCACTATGATTAAGTCTTTTGTGGATAGAGCATTGCCAAGCCCTGGGGTTCTTTTTGCCCCTGATTGAATAATTCCCGTTTGTTGAACTTGCGTATTTACCACAGAATGTAACAGGCACTTTGTACTAATTCTAATCGTTACAACAACTTAGCAAAGGTGAAAATTTTTCCCTCTTATAAAAAGAGCAGGAAATGGAGGCTTATGGAAGCTAAGTGATTTGCTCAAAACCATAGCAGCAGTCAGGAGCAGAGTCAAGATTTGTGGCCTGGTCGGTCTGACGTCAAAGCCTGGACTCTTTCCATTTCACCCTGACTCTCCAAAAACAAGACACAGCCCAATATACACACAGCCTGTGCACAGCAGAGGTTCTGACAGTCTCCTTTGCATCTCTTCCTGGATACTGACTCTTGGGATTCAGTCAATGTCTGTGGAGCAAAACACTAATAAAACTTATGTGAAGCTTGCACTGAGATGCATACTTACAAGCCTGGGTGTACCTGGACCTGTCACTGCAGAACAAGCCCAGAAAAACATTGCCAAAAGTCAACCTGGCCTTCACATGTATAAGACCATGAAAGAGGCAAGAGGCAGTGGATTACATTGCAGCTGAGAGCCTGCATCCCAAGACAAAATGTTTTGATCAAGATAGGAAGGTCAAGCAGTGACAGGGTAGTCAGGTGATCTTCCCTCTGCTACTAACTTACTAGATTACTGAGTGAACCCTTCCTGAACCTCATCTTCATTGGGGTTAGACTACGTGATCTGCAGGGTTCTTCTACCCCTAGAGCAGTTTGTTCTATGACCCCACCCCCCAACATACCACTGCAGGGGAGTCTTTAAAAGCTTCTTAGGAGGAGAGTTGGAGAGGCAATGGTCATGAATTAATACCTTATTCTTTCTAGATGTAAGTTGTCATTGAAGGTTGGGTATGCATAGAGTTGCCACCTGAGAATGAGTGCCTCCTTAAATGTTGACCTAAGTCTCCTTACCTGCATCACTCTGGTCCTAGCTCTGCCTCACATAATGGTCAGCCAAACTCTATTCAGCCAGGTCACTTTTGTTGCATGCTTATTTCATTGTTTCCCTTTTCTTCTCACCATAGGTCATTAGTGTTTTGGTTTCCTGAGTCCTATCTTTAGATACAGTGTGAAAACAGGATCTGGAACTCACACATATGGGAGATGCAGCAAAATATTTTTCAACCCAATGTCAAAACATGAGATCAGTTTATTAGAAACTCCATGGGCAGCAGCTTGTTCTACTGTTTCCAATACTGAGCCTATAGGATCAGGGCCCACTACATGACAACTATTAATAAAATGCGATATCCAGATTCTGACCATTTCTTTCATCTTTACCCCCGCCACCTTAATCCAAGCCTCCATCATCTCTAAATTGGATTATCACATCAGTTTTCCCACTAGTCGCTACTACTGTGCTTGCCTCAGTCTCTATAGATTTATTCTCAATAGAGCTGTAAGAGTGCTCCTTTTAAAATATGTCAGACAGGAGCCAGCAGCTGGTGTGGTGGTTAAGGCATTGGATTCCTACTGGATTCCACATAGCTAATTGTGGTTTGAGTCCCAGACCTGGTGGCTTGAAAATCACATGGGGAGAATGTGTGTGTGTAGCCAAAATCCCAGGAGGAGAATGGAGGAGAAGCGATTGTGGTGTGGCCAACACCCGAGGGGATTATTTCTCACTTTTCCTCTCTCTGTCTCTCCCTGGTACATCCTATGGCAAAAATCTAGGGAAAAAAAAGTCAGGCAATGTTGTCCTTGTATTCAGAGTCCTCCTGTGGCTCCATACCGCACTGTCCTTACAAGTGTTCTGTAAGGGCCCCTTCTTACCTGATTTCCTAGTAGCCTCCTAGTACTCAGTGCAGCCAGCATGTTTTCCTCTATGAAAAATGGCATGTCCATGGAAAATGAGTATTATAAAAAAAAAAAGCTATGGATAGATTTTAAGATTACATGCACCAAAATAAAATTATAGTTAATTCCACTTTCACCATGAATTTTTAGAAGTCACCTCATATGCAAGGCACAGTCCCTCTTCAGAGGCTTCACACTAGATATTCCCTTCGTCTGGACAATGCTTTCCCCAGATATCTACAAAGAATGCTTTGTTCCCTCATCATTTCAGTCACACCTGCCCTGAACAGTCTGCTGACATTTTCAGCCACCTTTCTCCTCCACATTCACAGCCTCTTCTTTCTACAGCCTTGGCACACAAGTACGTGCATGAGCATGTGCACACTAACATGCATACTCTCACACATATACACATCTTCCAACATAAGATATACTTGTTTGTTACTACATATATTTTAACTCTGTCTGCCCTCTGCTCCCAATAGAAAGTGAGCTTCAGAATACAGAGCTTCTTATCTATTTTTTACTCAGTCAGAGCCTCACATCCTGCTTCAGTTAGGTCCTTGATAAATACCTGTTAATGTTCAATATACAAATACACTAATGAATTAGTAAATACCAAGACAAGTTCTTCAACTAAGATGCCAAAGCATTAATCAATTCACTAGACCAGAGATTGGCTTTTATTTTTTCTCCCTTCCCTTCCCTTCCCTTCTCTTCTCTTCTCTTCTCTCTCTTCTCTTCTCTTCTCTTTCTTTTCTCTTCTTTCTTTTCTTTCTTTTTGTTAAGGCCAAATAATAAATATTTTAGATTTTGTACAACATAGGATTATGATTATTCAACTGTGCTGTGGAAGCACAAACATAGTCATAGATAACACACTCACTTGTAAACATGACTGTATTTCAATAAAATTTTATTGACTGAATACAGAGGTTGGCCTGTGGTCGCACTTGGCTGAGTCCTGTAGTAGACTAAAGTCTAGGTCAGGTAGCAAGTTTGACTTTGCTTTTTGTTGAATCCCAGTACATACATGGTATCTAGTATTGTCTCGTTATTTAATAAGTGTTCTGAATGAAATGAAATATACATGGAATGTAGTACCACACTTCAGCCTCGGTCACAGCACTGTCTGATTGAACTCACTGCAATAATGGAAAAGCTTTTTATCTGTGCTTTCCAACATGGCAGCTGTTGGTCATGTGTGGCCACTGAACACTTCAAACACAGTGGGTGGGACTGAGGGGCTGTGCTGGTAATTTAATTTGGTTTTATTAATTTATAATTTAACTTAAATGGCCCATATGTCTAGCAGCTATCATGCTGGACAGTGGAGTTCGACCATAACCATCATTTAGTTCCATGAAACAGCTCTATCTGCTCCCCGTTCTACAAGAAGCCTTTCCTGACTGCCAAC